ACAGAGACAGAGACAGAGACAGAGACAGAGACAGAGACAGAGACAGAGACAGAGAGATATGTATACGTAAGAAGAGATTAGCTACAAGAACTTATTTATATGTATTATAACCCACTTGGAAAACGTTCTATAGCTATCTATAGCTTTACATAGCTTTACTTCATAAAAGATATGAAAAATAGTTGTTTAAAAATTCTGTTGTGCATATAATTGGTTATTATCCAAGGCGAGCTCCGTGACAAGCCTGAGCCGCGATTTGATTACTTTGGCTTGCAAGCCGACTACAGACTAATATAATAAAGCAGCTCATCCTATTCTCTTTTTGTGTAAATGCCAACGTAGACAAAATAAAAGAATTCAGATGTCAGTTTTCATTTTGCCTTGTGCATTGCATTCCGGCGAGTTGGAAGCTATTTTCGCTTTGTACAAGTAGTTGCATGTTGTAAATATGATATTTGGAATTTTGAGCTGCTGTCCAAGTTTGTCGCTCCCATGGCATCTGCTACTACGACTACTATTCCTGCTTCTGCTGCTGCTCCTGGGCTTGGTATAATTTCATTTGCGTCTGGTGGCATTTTGTCGCTAACTTTATGTTGAGCAACGTACGTGTGCGGCCAGGATGGCGTCAACAGTTTTACGGCGGGACAAAGAGAGGCAAAGAGTGAAGAGTGAATGAGAGAAAGATATGGGGAAACAGAGATGGAGTGAGATAGAGAAAGAAAGTAAAAAAGAGGTAGGGACAAATTCTTTCTCTATGCCCCATTCATAAAGATTTTGATCTACAAAAGAAGTCGTTCAATATTCATATATACATATGCATATATAGAATTTTACAATAATATTAATTATAAAGAAGAGTACTCCAAATACTTTATTTTATTTATATTCAAGTCAAAGAAATCTGTATGAGTTCTTCTGGGGCATCGCAGCTGCCACAGAGTATCCGCTAGTCGTATATATTGTTGACTTGATTACCTAAGCTGGCTCTCAGTTTTGTTTTTGTATTTTTTTCTGGTTCTCTCAGAAGTGTGTCTTTGGCTCGGCATTAGATGCGGCAAATGACCAGAGCCAGAAGAAATTCAATTTATTATGCAGCTTGACTTTTTTCTGACATTCTGGGCGAGATGACAGTGCGCCTGATGCTGTGACAGTTGCTCCGCATAAAGCCTGGCATGGAAAGGGCACACAGTACGCTAATTCCAACAGCTGGCCTTGTTGAAGATTCCGTTTGCTGTTTGCAGCCCTTTGCCCTCCGCTTGCCCTGCTGCGATTATAGATTTTGGTATGCGATGCGGCAGCTGCGTTTGAATTTCGCGCTGCGCTGCGCTCGAACAGCTTTTAATATTGGAAATGTCCTTGAAAACATTGCAATGACCAGTGCACCGAATCCGAATCCGACAACATTACTCATACGCAGCGTGTGACAACGTTGCCTGCCTGACGGCCGGGTCTCTTGTGCCAACATCCTCATTGGCATGCATTATTCATTTTTCGAGATAAACTCGGTAGGAAATTGCCGACAGCTGCCATAAAAGATATTTAATATTGAACTACGTTTTGTCGCACATTTAAATGGAAATTATATTTGACTTGGCAGCAATTAATTTGAGTTTCAACAACTTAAGAGCTTCAGTGCTTGTCATGTCAACTAAGTAGTTGAGATGGCACGGAACGCCTGCCTGCCCTACTTTCATGGCTGCCTGCCAGCCCGGCTGCTGGTAAATGAAACATAAAGCGCTTTTAGTTAGAATCACGTTCGTCTCAATTAAACTACATTAAATTCAATTAACAAGCAGCAGGAGGCAGCTGCGCAAAATATAAGCAACACTCCCATTACGGTTAGAGGCGTGGCCTCGCCCTGGGATGCCAAAGATCTTTGTGTGCGAGCGACCTGACCCACTATAACTGCCAATGGAGCCAGTGACATTGTCTCTCTATAGGTCGGGTCTACGACGTCTACGTTACAATTGACTTTCATTACTTCTTACAATCATGTTGCATTATTGAGCGTTGTCACATTGGACAGGCCCGTTGAGATGAGGGAACGAGTCGACGACTCGAAGAGTCGATGACTCAACGGCTGCGTGCTGCACGACGCGTTAGTTCGTTCGTGTAATTAAGTTTAATATTTAATTTAATTGCATATTGTAGACATACAGTTACAGCAACTACAACAACTATAGCAACTACAACAGAGCAAATGAGTCATAAAAGGACACGAGCACGCTCCGAGACATTGCCTGGCTCAAAATTATAATGAAAGCCGGAAGCGCAAAGGCTTTCAGACAAAGTTGAGAGTATCGTCGCCTTAGCCACACCCACAACAACCAATTGCCCAGCTGGCAAAGGTGAAGGCGAAAGTCCAGGAATCGCTTATAGCCAGCGTCCTCTGTTCGTGACTTCTTAGCTCCAGCAGAGCTGCCACATACATACATACATACATACATACATACATACACACATACACACATACATATACGTATGCGTTGTCTAGCGCTTAGTTACTTTATTTTATGTTGACCTCTTTCGGCTGCATTATTATCATTGGAGTTGTGC